CCGAAATCAACCAGGAAACGCGCACTACGATAGCAGACTTCGAGCGACCCAGAAACAAAAGGCAGTTGCAGTCATTCCTGGGTGTGGTGAACTGGGACCGACGGTTTATTAAAAACCTGGCACGACTCACTAAGCCACTCGAAGAGTTATTGAAGAAGGACAGAAATTCGAATGGACTCACGCGCAGCAAGCTGCATGTGGATTCATCCACAACCAGAGCATCTCCCGCTGGGCCCTAACTCCCTAGCATCCGCTGAAATCGCGTGCGTTATCATTATCGTGAAATATATGTATATTATTTTATAGGAAACGCGTCTCTAGTTTTCAAGTTTTTCGTTACCGACCTTCTGGAAATCGGTTATTTTAATTTTTTCAATTTTTTGAGAAATAATTGACGGAATCTCAAAGAATTATATCAAGAGACACGGTAGTGTCTCGCGCCAAGTACACGCGGAGCGAGACCGACCGTGACTCTTTTATACGCGACGCGACGGGTTGCGAGTACCCGAGATGTTGAGATCTTGATAACGAGTGAACGGATCAAGTTCCAAGTAGGCTTGATCGCGAGCTTGGGGTCCAATTAGGGGGGGGTTTCTCTCATAATATTTCGCTACGTGCCCTACGAGCGGAGATATTGCGACGCAAAGTCCAAATGGAAAAATTTATTTTTAAGATACTCCTCCTAACGCCGACGTTCTTGTATGATGACGTCATAATCAGAAACGTCATTTTCACTTTTTCGACGTCAATCGGCATGGTCAACGTGACACACAATTATTAACGACGCAGTGATTAATTAAAATTTAAAATAAAAGCGATTTTTTTTCGCATCATGCCGAGATTGCTGAATAACCGTGTGTTGTCGTTCTTAATGTCAAATGGTAAGATTCGTTGTAATCGTTATTCATCCACGACGAATTATTGTGAAAATTCTAGTTTCGCGAGAGATAGACGCGCAATGTCCACCGCCAGTAACTTGATCAAAGATTTGCCGAGGGGACCGTTGGACGCTTATAGGAAAAGAGCGACATTCGACTGGAAGTCATTCAATAAGTTATCTTTGGAGGGAGAGGATTGCGTGCGGTATCAGGTAACGAAATCATTGTGGAACGTGTCAAATCTGTACCGTACTATTGATGTAAACGTGTGACTAAATTTAACGATTGAATTTGTAGAAGAAACTGTGGCAACTTATCGAAAGCAACTCGGTGTTTCGAAAGTCGACGTCGAAGAATTTGGATGATCTTCGAAGATGCTGCAACAGTCAGTTCCAAGTACTTTTCCAGAATGGCATAGATGTAATTATAACAATTCATTTAGCCAACAAATTATAATAATTATGATAAACTACAATCGTTGATAGTAAATGAATTTTAGTATAAAGCGTTGTCTACAATGACAGCAGGAGTATACAGTAAGACGTAAGCAGTAAGTTATTGACTAATGGGATTTTTACAATTCAAGAATAATCGACTGTGTTTGGTCAATAGCTTACTGCTTACGTCTTACTGCATACTCCTGCTGCCATTGTAGACGACGCTTAAAGAGTATTTGAAACGATATTGGAATTCTTGTACTTGAAAATTTTTGTATAATTCTTTTAGCCCATGGATGACCTTCCATCTTACATGTATATTTTTCAATACGATGGGTCAATACCGATTAGAATGAGTATCTCGCGTGGTATGGTACCAGGTAGCTTATTAGCACTGGGTACCGAGCGACATCAACATTTCGTAGCAGAGTTTGGCACTGGAAATGTATGTACAAACATATATGACACAGTCTGGTGAATTGTTATTGTAAAATTTATTGATATTGCTTATATAGTATACCGCCTGCTTCGCGCTGACTGAAATTTCTCATGGGACCAATGCGAAAGGCATGCGAACCAGGGCAACGTATGACGTAGCAACGAAAAGTTTTATCCTTCATACACCTGATTTTGAAGCTGCAAAATGTTGGGCAGGTGGTTTAGGTAAGCTAAGTTTTAGTCGATATAGAATTGACTAAGATGCAGTGATATTTGATCAATTAAGTACAACTTTCTATATTTTCCAATACACTGTCATTTTTAGGAAAATGCGCGACGCACGCTCTCGTATTTGCGCAGCTAATTACACCGGACGGAGTGAATCATGGCCTGCACGTTTTCATCGTACCAATTCGCGATCCGAAAACTCATCTACCTTTTCCTGGTGTCACCGTTGGTGATATGGGTGAAAAGATAGGTCTTAACGGAGTAGACAATGGATTCTTAATGTTTGATAATTACTCTATACCTCGTACTTGCCTGTTAAATCGCACCGCGGATGTCAGCGAGGATGGAAAGTATGTTCTCGCTTTAAAGGATGAACGAAAAAGATATGGTAGGTGGTAGGAATTAACATTAATATGACAAAACCCATATGCCATGATATGTAATTGATTTCATTGAATTTCATTTTATCTATGCAGGCTCGTCATTGGGTGCGCTTTCAGGAGGCCGTGTCAGCATTACTGGAATATGTGGACATTATATGAGCCTTGCACTAACGATTGCTATACGTTATTGCGCAGTTAGGAAACAGTTCGGCCCTACCGAGAATAATGAATTGCCGGTCATAGAGTATCAAACGCAAGTACGCATAACAGGATTTTTACTTTGAGCTAAACAGAAAAAAAAATCACATTTGATGCAAAATATTTATGTTTCTAGCAATGGCGAATCATTCCTCATTTAGCCGCAACGTATGCAGTAAAAATATTTGCATTGACGTTGTACAAAAGTCTCTATGATCTTCAAATGAGTCGCTTCATGAATGAAGATGGAGACGCGATTGCCGATCGAGGAATGGAGATGCACGCGTTATCTTCTGCAACGAAACCATTATGTTCGTGGATTGCGCGTGACGCGATTCAAGATTGCAGAGAATCTTGCGGTGGGCATGGATACTTAAAAAGTAAGTGCAAAATCTCAGTCTTATATATTACATGTACCTACATCTTTATAATTATAATTAATTATCATTTTATTATTAGTGTCTTGTTTGGGTGATATAAGAGCTGAAAACGATGCGAATTGTATGTATGAGGGTGAAAACAACGTACTTATTCAACAAGCAAGTAATTGGTTGTTAAATCAATGGGTTAATGTGATTAAAGGACAGCCCGTGCCATCGCCTCTTAATTCTGCGGATTTCCTGGTGAATGCAGAACAAATACTTAAGACCAAATTTAATCAAACCACAGTGGAAGGTGTATTGAAGCCTGAAAGTATGATAAAAATGATTCTTTGTTGTATTAAAATATACTACTGAAAGTTATTAGTTTGATGAATGACTTAGGTTTACTGCAACTAATATATGTTATTTTCTTAATTTTAGATTTGCTCTTAGCTTTTAAATGGTTGATTTGTTATTACTTGAAAAAAACACATCAATGTACGAAGGAACTCAAATCAAGCGGAATGTCTGATTTTGACGTAAAAAACAA